GCCGTTGTCAGTCCGTTCGGAGTTAAGCCCATAATTATCACCCAGATGAGCTTCTGAAGAGCTCAGACGCCTTACTTGTGCGTTCATATCCCCTGCAAGTACTATAATATCTGAACTAGTAGCACTGCGTAGCAGCGTGTTCAGTTCGTGATAGAAAGTGTCCTTGACTGCATTAGAACTGCAGTCCGTGGGAGCATAAGCAGAAATCACAAACAAACAGCGTTTTGTTTTACTTCGCGAATTCACCTTAGCTGATGTCGTCAAACGGGCTGCACATAAACGACTGTTCACCGGAATCCAATCAACCAACGATAACTCAGCCTTGGAGCTGAGAATGATATCTACACCAGCTTGACCCGTGAGTGCCGCATCGGCGTCTCCGGAGGCGTGCAACCAATAACGAGAGGATAAGCCGGGTGCAGTCAATTCAATAACCCCATTAGGGTCATTAATCCTAGTTTCGGACACACAACACACATCAACACCCAGTGTGTCCAAGTTGCGTGCGAGTGCAGCCTGCTGACCTGTTTGTCTTAGAGTGCGGACGTTGAATGTTGCCATGGAAACGGCACAGCGTGGTCTTATAAGAGACTTTTGCCGATAGGCGTCCGATAGGTGCTGTGGGATGGTGGCTGCAGATGGTTCTGCTCCAGTAGCACTTCGGTTGCTGTCAATTAAGCTGGGAATTATAGAAGGAAGGTTAGTAATGGGGGCCGGGATGGGAGTAAGAGAAAGAGATGGAAAAGAAAGAAGGGAGGCGCCAGCAGTAGCATGCTTTCGCTTATCCGCCCTGCTGTATGCAGCAGATTAGGCGACCTTTGATAATCTGCGCGACGGCCGATGCAGGATGAAGTTTATGTTTGAAGAAAATGTCATGGTTGTATGTGGGCTGGGATACTGCCTGGGCGCCCAGACCTAGACAGGAGAACGATTAGGGTCCTCATGTGTGTTTTCATAGGCCCCGGTAAATTCAGTATGGCTGAGGGATAACTGGAACTATAACTATACTCACTCTCATCACTAGCCTGCGGAGTGGAACATGAAATGGCGACATCGTGATAATCGCTAGTCAGTTAATTGTCGGGATTGTTCACTTGACACAGAATTTCCCGGGAAATTTCTCTTCGCATGCATAATCCAAACTGGTCACACGAAGGACAGTCGTTGAGCATTGTGTTACAAATGTCATATTTGACATTTATATGTATTTTAAACGGCCAAGCGGTAATAACCATTTGATTCAAACGTATCCATCGAACTGGAAACATACCCAATTATTTGCCACCCTAGCATTGATCCGTAGCAAGCACACAAATCGCTCGGAAAAACAGCACTCACATCAATTACGAATGAGCTCATGGATGGACTGAACCATTATTCTGCGATGCACCGGCTTTCTAAGCATCATGTAAGTTAGCATTGAGTAGCTAGTCAAGCTACGGTTATGGTGAGCAATACCATGGAGCTGACATAGGGATGTGAATCGCGGCCGAATAATAATACGAAAATGAAGATGTCATAGCTCACTCTCGGTATGTAACCATACTAGACGCCGCTTGAGGAGGTAGCAAGAATAGCATAGCATAGATCATGATGAGTACAATATCGTAATGGGCAACACGTGAAGTTATCGCGAAATACAACCGAGTTAAATAAGCCTAAAATAGTTAGGTTACCTGTGGATCATCCGTTCTAGGCAGGTGCAATAAAGATACCACATTGCACCAAGTCAGTAGTTAATCATTCTAGAATAAAACTGCACCCAAGCCCGACTTACATGCGGTATATAGAATAAGGATGACACCAAAAACGAATGAAGAAGATGGCGTAAGCAATTTTCTAAGTTAGCAGGGAAATGGTGCGATTATGTGCACTGCAGGCTATCCGCGTCGTTAGGTAAAACCAGAGCCGGTTATAATCGTCTCTTGTCCGAGGTGAGCGAGAATAAACAGGGAGGTAGAACCACCAAGCAGTCCGTCATGTGTTACTGTTTATTTCCCCCTGGTCATTCGTTCTGACCGCTAACATATCTCGACCAATGCATCAGTGTCTAGAATACTATCTCTGCCCATGAATTTCGATTCGGATGTTACAACGTATTGCCGCTGCTCCGGGAATCAACCTAGATGACTTGTCTGAATCTCAGTGCGTTTACCTGAAGGCGGCAGCAGTACAATGGGGCGTATAGAGAACTTGAGATGGGATACATTGACTTCATATTGCAACATATAATAAGTCACGGTGTCACACGAGAAGAAAAGTAATAGGATCCATCTGCCAAGTGGGAATGTATCGAGACACGAACAGATGTTAGCGGGATTTGTCTTTTTTTATCACAATTATTTGTCCTAGAAAGCACAGCTTTGGCTTCATCCGACATCTAACTTCAGCCGCAACAAACCGATGGAAGCGTGAATTATTTTGGCACTATGCAACTTTTAAAACTGAGCATAGCTCTATGCAGTGACAAAGGTTATTCAAATTGCTAAAGGGAACTAAGTGCTTTAAATTTCTCAAGCGACAAATTTCCGCCGAAACCATCAGTTTGCTTCACCTCCTAGTCAACCTGAGATGCAAGATTTTGTGCTTTAATATGAAGATATCTTATCTGTCAAATATACGTGGAACCATTTTGCAAGTATTTTTCCTATTTGCAATCCTTCCATTTGTCGAATGCTCAGAGTATGAGCCTTGAAGATGACTATCGTCTGAATGAGGGTGGATATTGTCGAAGATAAATTTTCCGGAGTAGTGGTCATAAATAAGGCCGAATATAATGCAAAGAATTGTGTCGTACTTAAGGAGGCTAATAAATTCGAAATGCTCACGAAACTAGGGGTCATAAGCAATGTCGAAACGTACATCGTTGGTCACATGGAATTGCTTCTCCAACGTGTGATAGAGCTTAATGAATTTATAGTTTGAATCTGAGTGGTAGCACAATCCCCAGCTGTATGGGTCAGTAAAGGCATGTAAGTTTGAAGTGCTCCTCAGGTCAACTATTTTGATGATGAACGCACCCTAGCGAAAACTGTCTCGTTGCTTACTAAGTATTAGTTCTCAGCTGAAACGACTGTTCATCCGGTACTAAATACTCATGTTGGCTCATCAACGACCCGGATGAACTCAAGTTGTCTGACAAATTAACACGTTCCTTGGATGTGGAAGCTTTATATACCAACGTCGCGCTACATCAAATGATTGAATATGCGTAAATTAGCTGAATACTGTAGCTTTTGTTTACCATTTCCGACTGAATTACTGTGAGAATATCTACTTTCGTGCACGGAGAATGTGGATTTTCACTTTCAACACAAAGAACTGTTAAATTGTTGGCGTATCAAAGAGTAGTCCATTAGGTCCTCTTCTCTTTGGTTTCTTCATATTGATGCTAGAAAGAACCATTTCTACGTACATAGCCCAGTTGCCTTAATACAGATGATTTGTCGCATATATCGTAGATATTTTCATCGGAGCAGAAACTAGCACGTTTGCATGATAACGTGCTGGTAAAATGCAAATTAGAACGAAACAATTGTGTGCCGTTTACGTACAGTCAAAAGCCGCAGGGATGATGGATAATTCAGGAGGTCCATGTACCGAAAATAAACTTGGGTTTATCAGTACCTGCACTTCAGAAGCTTCATATCAGTACGGTACAAACGGTCACTTGTGAAGGCTTTACTTAGTCGTGCTAGACGAATTTGTTCGGCCGACGCTCTGGACTGTTAACAATGAACAATGATCAATGATTTAAAACGGGTAAAAAGCAGGTGCTTGACATGTCCCGTAGGGTGTTTAGCGTGACAAAAATAAGATAGCGAAGGGATAATGGAGTCGTCAGTTCAGGCGATTACAGATGTGATCTAGTGTGACCTAATGTCATTTACAGCAACATAATGGTGAACGGAAACACCCAAAGATCTTTCGCGAAACACAACCAAGCACGAGAACAAAGGTACTAAATTCACGCGGAAGCCAGGAAAAAAGTATATACCGATTTGTCTTTCAACGATGATTTAGCCACGCTGAAGACAAATAAGTGTACATGTACGGTTGCAAGAAAAAGCCACTATGCTGCACAAGTTGTCCTCCCCTCAACCGAAGCTTCAATTTGCCCTACCTAAAACGAAGGGAACAGTCAGCCGGGGCTATTTCACACTGTGTATACTACTTCACCTTTGACTGCGTCAACAGCTACATAGGCAATACTAAAAGGACACTGAATTATTAAATAAAGGAACGTATGCCATGGTAAGTTTGCCAAAAGGTGGCTCATATTTCCCATCCAGTCAGGATCCTCGCTTTTATAGACCGCCGGCTTCCTTGATAGCAAACAGCTATTTTACTCTGGTCACCGGATAGAGCTATGTTCAGCGTTCCACGTTGTGTTAAGTCACCCTAATCACCGCTTTCTTCAGTCTGCTGGGGCCGAAGTGATACGTCAGATTAAGCCAAGCCAGTGCATTCTGGAACAAATATTTGTGAGCCTAAAGCTGCCTTGGACGTAGATGTGAACTTCCGTCATTTGGTTTGCACCTCATGCTTGTATGGTCGTACCTACTGTTAGCATATCGGTTGTTGTTAATGGCACTGAAGAGACGATGCGAAATGCTTGCACCCAGTAGCCTTCGACATTTTCCGTTCTTTTCAAAATGCTAAAGGGAACTAGTTGCTTTAAATTTGGATGAAGTTAAAAGACATTCTTTCGAAACACGTTAATTTTTTCGCTGATTTTGCGCTTATACTTTAATGTATGCCCTGGAATTAAGCGTCAATTTTAATCAGTTAATATAACACAAGGTATTGCGTCCACTCTAATGAATCCTTGTGCAACTTAGTAGTACGTGGATAATTGCTCGTTTGATTATGATCTCAGCACACAGGCTAAACCAATTTGGGCCAATCAAGTGAAGGGGCTGACAACTGTTGCAATGGTTGGTCCGTTCTGATGTTTGTTAAATAAGTGTTCAAGGCTAGATGTGTTTATCAAATATACCGACACACTTGCACAAGTGCAGTAGCATTTAAACCATGAGCGGGGTATGTTATTTATGATCATTTACTAACTGCAGTTCCCGTATTAGATAGTTTGTTTGCTACTCCTGGTGCACCTAGTTTTCAATGCTCGGGAAGTCGCTGGGTTAAATTACTGCTCCCAACAAATATCCACAGTGCAATTCGAATGCCTGGATGAATCTGTTGTTCTGTGTGGCATTGGTAAGTAGCGAGCAGCGTTAGCGGCTATTTTCTAACTATAATCATGGATTATATTATATCCAACTTGATCTGATAAATCCAGACGTTATGTGCGTCCAGTTCTAGTTCAAGTAACTTATTTAGGTGGTGTGCAGTTATCATAAGGTGCTTTAACTGCGCTGGCAGGTTAAGACGTCCTTCATGCTGCGTTGTGTGCAGATGATATAAGTTTAACTGTATTGTATACACATAATTGGTACAAATGACTTTATTATAACAGTATCGGTTGTTCCGACTAATATCAATGAATTAAGTTTTAAGATATATAAAGCTATCCACTTAAGCTTCACCGGTCGACCGATTATCTTTCAAGCCGTTGTTAGATATTGACTCACAACCATATGATTTGAACAGTGTGTTTACAGCGACACTGTTTAGCAACAAGTTCTATGTTGGGCATCTTCAACCTGAGCAGTAGCATTCCCATAGATATTGTAGCAAATGCAATCATATTTAAAATGGTGGCTCTTTGGTACTTGCGAGCATTGTTTCAATGTGTATTCAATAGTTAAGATAAAATGTTAAAACGATTTTTTGTGTTTAGGCATTTAATGCATCCATTGTTAGATCGAGATGTGTACTGGCATCGTGTGTTTAACTTTGGCTGGCCTGCGCTTAGTCAGTCAGGCTAAAGGAGTTTTGTATGCCTAATTCAAGGTTTTATGATCTAACCTGGGTGGTACCGCAGCAACTGGTACTGCAGGTAGTAGGCGCTGCCCCGATACATCACTCAGGTGCGCCGTCGAAACAAATGTAAAGAAGTCGATGCCAACATTGTTGACGGAGTTTTAACGTCGTCGGATGTCCACATCATATCATCATACACGTTAGCCGGAGGTGGGGAACACCTCAGCTACTGTGCCGCAATACACAGAAAAAAGGAGAGAAAAAATGCAACTTGTGCAAGCTGGCTAAGCTACCGGTAACGGATGGGCATCGCTCGGGTAAGCTACCAGCCGGCTGCTGTGCAACAAGAAAAAAGTACTACGCAAAATTATATCAGGCTAAGTAATGAGATCGTGGTTGGAGGGGGAGGCTAAGATGGATGGGGTGGGACAAAGAAACTCACAGCACGAACGCCACTGAGGTTGACTCCTAGACAAATCAGCGTGTGTGTCCAACCCGACGTGTTCATCGTCTTTCGGACCCCAACCAGGGAGCCGAGACGCTCCAACAGAGGCCAGCTCAGAAATCAGGGCCTTCATTCCTCTCGATCAAGTCATCGCGTGGCCACCTCTCCTCCTCTTCCATCCACACCCCCGGCGCGCAAACAACACACGTCGCGGCAGTCGGTGGACTGGCATCCGTAACACGTGGCCGAGCCATCGGAGCCTGATACGTGAAATAACGCTGCTGAGTGGTTCATTTCCTTTTCCTGTGCCATAAACAAGGCGTCTAACACGCTCGTTGCTCACGCGGTGTTCCCACCAGATGTGAGCTAAATTACGAAGACACCGGTGGTCGAACGTAAATAGCCTCTTCAGGTCCGCTACTTTAAGCGGCCAGATTTCACAACCGTACAGTAGGGTCGAACGTACTGGTGCATTGTACACTCTACTCTTCAGAGTGAGAGTAATGTCGCGCCGGCGCCATAAGTGGCGAAGGTTAGCAAAAGCGCCCCGAGCTTTTGCTATACGATTCGTGATTTCATCTTCAATCCCACGGGCGCTGATACAACTTCGTCCTAAATGGTTACTGTAGATTTTTAACTTTATCGAATTACCGTGAGCGATATTCACCACAACTGATTTCCCCTATCTATCTCCTTATCTACGTGTTGGCTAAAAACCTGTGCCTGTTGTTATATACATTCACACAGGGAAATTTAAATTCCTTGTTTAATGCTAGCAAAACGAATAGGGAAAAATTGATCTTAAACTAATATTAAGGGCAGACATATTAGAAGGGTTAGGTAATGATCGGCCACTAGATGTTTCAGTCATTCCCTTTGCATATAACTTAGTGCATCCGAGCAATACTGTTTGCCTTGCAGAGTTCAGATATATTTCTCAAGTTAATTATAGTGCATTTTCATGATAAAATGTGACATACCAAATCTTTAATCAACACTGCCAGATAAAAACATACAAATGGTACAAAAGGAAAATCGATGTCGAAAATGTTCAACTTGCCTGAATGCCTTAAACATGTGCAAAATACAGAAGTTGGCCTCACTGACCTCTTGTCCAGACGCACAGCAAATCCGGCAAAGCCTCATTACCGAGCAGAAGATTTTGCGTTAAACTACTGACAAACAATAATTTGACTGCCATTGATGAATGATGTCTTCGTTAAATTTTTACTTTAGCAACTAATAAACTTTTGAAAGGTGCTGTTTTTCTTCTTTTGCGTTAAATTATTGTGAGGTCAAACTAGGTTGATAGGCGTAACATCCTAGGTAGTTCCATGGCGTATATCCCGATTATGAATCTTCTGCCCGCCGAGAATCATCGTATTTTATGAGGCTGTTTATCTGTATTACGTCGGCATATATTTTAAATGTGATGGTGACTTGGAATTTATGCGGTTAGTCAGTCAAAATAAACGATACCAGCGCGTTATCTCAGATTGCTACTCTTATTCCCGATCGATCAATTCTGATTAAATGCGAATAGTTTACCAGAAGGTTCTGCACGTTAATAACAATGAATTGGTTAAACAGATCTTGTTCACTTTCAGCTGAATAATTAAATCAAGTGACTCTTCAAAAATATATTTCAACGGGGTTGGCAGGCTTCTAATTTTCTCAATTATAAGGCAAAGGTTGTATCCTATAGTGTAAGTCTTCATGAGTACGTTTGGTTGAAACGCTACATACAGCTGTACAACTTATTCATCCGTTACAATATTAATAATAGATACAGTTTGGAAGCTCTTGAGGTTTCCATTTCGCTGGGCTCAGTAGAGTTTATCCGGATAGCTCTTGCATTTTAATTAGGTAACGTGCGCAGTTTTGGAGTTAATCGATACCATCAAGTAGCAAGAGGCTTTACATTTTGACAAGCCTAGCGTGCACATTTTGTAGCGCACACATATCATTGAAATCACCTTATTTCCCCTCAGCGCAATTTAACGTTTAGCTCGTTGAACGAAACAAACGGTTTTAATTCATGTTCCAATGGGCATTATGGAAGATATTTATAAGCTGGATCACCCAGCTTCTCTGAATGTTATAATGTACAATATCCCAAAGAAAGACAAACATTTGAAAGGTTCTAAAACTGGGTTTAGTATTTTGGCTCATGAGTAGACTATTTTTTGCATAGCGCAAAATTAAGAATATAGTATTTTCTAAATAATACTTGCAAGCTGTTGCATAGAAATTTTCAACTTGCGAAATGCTGTTCAGTTCATCCATCGTTTACCGTAGCGAAATGTACTTTTCCAGCCGCTAATAATCTGTGGCTATTGGTAGAGAAGCAGATAAATGGTTAACTTGACCACAGCTATCAAGACTCCTTGACATACCATCCTTCCTCATACAGTGGGTTGGCAAATTAGTATGAGAAGTTTGTCAAAGCAAACCGTTTCCGGTTAGTACAGGCAAATCCACACTTTATATAAAATAATAAATGCTTAGTTTACAAAGAACAAGACACACCACAATATTTTATGGGAAGCAAGTTAACAGGTGGTGGGTAAGCAAAGTGATAATGGTTGCAGCAATTGTAGTAAATAATAATAATAATAATAAGGATTTCGGGTAGAGTATATAATGCAGTGGTACGTTCGACCCTACTGTACGGTTGTGAAACCTGGCCCCTTAAAGCAGCCGACCTGGAGAGGCTAGTTACGTTCGACCACCGGTGCCTTCGTAATTTAGCTCACATCTGGTGGGAACACCGCTTGAGCAACGAGCGTGTTCGACGCCTTGTTTATGGCACAGGAAAAGGAAATGAACCACTCAGCACCGTTATTTCATGCATCAGGCTCCGATGGCTCGGCCACATGTTACACATGCCAGCCCACCGACTCCCGCGGAGAGCGTTGTTAGCACGCCGAGGGTGTGGATGGAAGGGGAGGAGAGGTGGCCACGCGATGACTTGGTCGAGAGGAATGAAGGCCCTGGTTTCGGAGCTGGCCTCCGTTGGAGTGTCTCGGCTTCCTGGATGGGGCCCGAAAGAGGTTGTACACGTTTGGCTGGTTACACTTGTTGCTATGGCTAGGAGCCGACCCCAGTGACGTTCGTGCTGGGAATTTCTTTTCTTACCCCCCCCTCTTGGCCTCCCCTCCAACCACGACCTCACTATTTAGCCTTATATAATTTTGCATAGTAATTATTTTTGTTGCACGGTAGCCGGCTGGTAGCTTTTCGGAACAATGCCCATCCGTTACTGGCAGCTCAGCAGGCTTGCACCAGTTGCATTTTGTTCTCCTGTATTTTTTATTATTACGGCACAGTAGCTGAGGTGTTACGGACCTCTAGCTAACGTGTATGATGATAATGATGTATACGGATGTCAAGTAGTCAGCGTAAGCGGAAAGTTCCTCAGGTGATGGTGCACAATTTGTAGACGGATTATGAAACAGCTTACATTGTAAATATATTGAAATATGCTCTTAGTAAAATACTTCTGATAATGCAAGAACGTTTTTTATCAATTCGATAGAAATAGAAGTTTAAGTAGATTCAGTCACTTTAATATGTTAAAGTTGGATGAAAGGTAGACAAAAGAAGACTTCCTCGCACAGGAAGCATAAAGGACTACCGTAGTGATGTTTCGGCTAAATTATGTTCTGTGTGATAACTATGAAAAATCAACATGTATATTCTTTTCAAACGTAAAGATTGCATGGGAGATATTTATGCAACAGCCACCTAAGTGTGGGAGCAGTGGGTGTGCAATGTTTGTGTGCAGCAAGGAAGAATAACAAGACGCAATATATATCGATCGAATGAATGTCCAAAATTAATGTTTATATTTTAAAGAGGAATGCAGAGGTTGAAAGTCAACTACGATTTGGATCACAACACGCATTTCCGATATGTGGACCAAGGATAGGAAATTGCTGAGTAAAAAGAGAAAATAGCGAATAAGGAAAATGAAAATGAGCAGTTGGGGCAAATGGATGCCTATCCTTATGGATGAAATCGAACAGTCATTTTGATCAGAATACAATCGTACGGAATTTTCTATGAATAAAGATATAGATACTGATAAAGTTGACAAATAGCTATAAAAATAGTTTTGTTAAACATAAGGACAGGAATACCAAATTAATGTAACGGGATAACGTGTTACTTTGAGGAGAGCAAGCATGTTATGATATAATAGAAAAGGTACGCGGTTTGCCGGACACTCGGAAGTTGAAGCAATATTGGTGTTGAAACTGTCAGTTATCAAGAGGTAGGTCAGACGAAACTAAGGTCCTGACATATTTTATCAAATTACTGTCAAACGATGTGGAATTGTAACTATAAATAATATTTTATAAAGTATAGTAAACACGTATGGTTGCGTGATGTTGCTGAATAGCCCAACTTAAAGGATGAATATAGGTTTCGGTGGAAGCAAGGCCACTGTATACAAAAGCGTCAGTGGTGTTGAAGATTCCAAAGGTCAACGGAATGTTTACTTATTCTTAGAAGTTCCGAAAGTCTTGCCTATATGTAAACGGAACCAAAGGCTCACTAATCATGACAACTAAGATACAAAAAAACGGAAATTTACTTTTCAAATACTGTATAGTAAATGACTGCTTTTATCGCAAGAAGGGAATCAGTGCTACCGGACACCCGATTCAAAGGCGCTGATAGCCTAGAGCCAGTCAAACGTTGTTGGATTCTGGAAGAGACAGCTGAATCGCTGTGCAAGAAATGATAACCGATATTTGTATGCACACGATAATTAACAATGAAAACGGTAGATGTAAGATGATAAAAAAGAATTGACTATCCCAAGGGTTGAAAGGAAGATGGCAGAAGTAAAGTAGCCCTAATACCATGAGGCGACATAAAGTTGTATTTTATAAGAATGACGAGATATTGGCCAGGCTTCACAGAGTATGAACAAGCATTTCACAAGGAGCGGCGAAGTGCGTCAATTAATATGTGTGCTGGATAATATAAACTTACAAAGAAAAAGGTAGGTTTGTGATAAATGAACATGATTTTTATTCTAGGAGACAAAAGACAATCCAGATGATTGAAACATTCAATGCCGGAGCGTCTGAAGATTTCGAACTTTAAGAAAGCCAAAGATATATCAACATGGCCAAGTTCTTTGCAAGTCTTGCCGAAATGTTACCAAACAAAATGGAACCAATAAGTTGGATTCGACAACGATAAGCTGATGAAGTAAAGAAGCCCAGAATGAGGGATGAATTAAATAGACCGGTGCAAAAGTGACCATCGTCTGCAGCGCCGTCATCGGTTTGAAGATGTCAGATGGCGGGGCACCGGTCAAACTTAGCTGGATACTTGATTAGCATTTGTGCCATTGAACTTAAGGTGGATTTTGGTTAAACATGACCGCTATGTACGAAACTGAATTGTGAATAAAGCTTAAATGGTGACGTAAGTGTGCCCTTCATTAGTGACAAAAAGAAGGTGTCCGTGCGATTAAACCCTATAATACGGAGGCGTACAATTAAGGGAACCTGTCTGAAATCAATACTTAGGTCCTGATAACATAGGCCAAATAGTTTTCCCACCAACGCGGTTGGTATGTGGGATGGCTAATGGGAATAGTAAAGAAAACATGTGAGGCATATTGTTGATTTTGAGAAGCCTATCATCAGTGATATAAGGAAGGCATCAATGGAAGGAGACCAAACTATGCATAACTGTCAATGGAATGGTAGTTGAAGGAAAAACGGAGCTATTTTAACATTACTGGGGCCTTGATATCCTTAACGAAATTATTGGCTTACTAAAAAGAAACGCTAAGTGTGTGGGCCGTGGTATAGATAGAATACCGGAATGGTAAGAGGATGGAGTGGAAAGACTTATCTCAATGGATGCAACCAAGGTATTGGTATAAAAGAAACCACGGGTTAAGAGACGTGTGTTCTGGAAACTGTCAGATGGTGACGGACTGATCCATTGTTGCGTGATCCGCATTCACAGAATTAATAAGAATGAGGTTTGTAATAGAAAATAAACAGAACGGAAATGTTCAGATGATGTAGATGCAAATTGTCTATAATTATGAAAAGAAGCAAGTATTGCCATCAGACCCTTCAAATAAAGTACGTCAAGGATGTTACAATACAGTGATTTCACGACACAATGTGTTCAAATAAGTGTAGCATGAAGATCAAAGTTGAAGGCGCAAAAACTGACGTGGCAACGGAATATGCATATAGAAAGTGTCAAGCTTTT